ACACACCCCGCAAAATACGATGCGCTGCCATATGAGGATGTTGGGAGGTCCAATAAGTGCTTAAAAGCTGTCTGACCCTAAATATGTTTGCTCATATCACCTATATCCGTACATAACACTTCTTTCAAATTGAATTTTGGAATACCACCCAAAGTTGAAGTTAATTTTTGACTAATTGCCGGATTCTTTTGGTTTAATTGTCCGGTTATGGTGAATGTACAAATGGCCACAAAGAAATTACCTCTTGACAGCAAAGTTCGCTGAATTGAAGTGAGGATTCAATGATGTTCGGAACATGCACTTCTTAGGGTTACTCATATTCCTTTTCATATATGTTAAACAACTTTCTGAAGAAAATTATGATTATTGCTCTGAATTGTGTGCATGACTTTAAAAAATTATTCAGAATTCATTGGTACTCATCAACCATAGCCAAACTGCTATATTATATTCTATAAATATATGCTAGTTTATGTTAGCGTCTCCTAGGTTTTGAAAGTGAAGTATTCAGAATTCATTAAAGATTAACATTTTGCATTGTTTCTTACTGATAAAATCATCAATAAACCACCTTCAAATTTTCCATAAATAACATGCAGAAAATTGTTTGTGACTGAGCCTGAACCCTTTTTTTGCTTGCAAAAGTGGAAACCGAGCTGTTAGCCACACGCTGAGCCTTTTAAAGATCCGCGAGCTTGGCAGAGCTGTGATGAGCATCTTAAGTTACATCAAATGTCGTCACGGGTCGTCATCTAGTTTCCGTAATTATTCTCAGAACTAGAACCTCTGCAGTGTGCTCATTCTTTCCCTTAAGATATAATCACAAGATAAGGATAGTTTGTGATAGTTTAAGATAAAAAGCGTCCATATTGATCTAATAATAGAACGTTGCGATATAAGCTATCAGGTCATTTCGTAAGTTCATGCTATTTTTCTTCCTTTTTCTCCCCGTTTCTAACTTTTTGGTCAAATGGTTTATGTCTTCTCAAAGCCGTTTTCCTGCTCTACAAAACATGTGTGGAGCCTTTGAAAGGCTGGCTTGAACTTAGCCAACCAACTTTAGCAGAACTTGGTAGTTTCTATCTCTAGAAGAAATAGGAGTTTGTAATTTTTTAGCCTCCATGAAAAGCAAACAAAATTATGCATCTGAAACTGTTTTTTCCTTAAGGGATAAATGAAAAAAAATGCACAAGCTAACA